GTGCTTATTAGCAGAAAGATAGAATTGGAAGCAGAGAGCCTGGTGCTGTGGTGTAGCAGGTAAAAGGTGCTACCTGTATAGCCAGCATCCCATATTGTCGCCAGTTCGAGCCTCAGCTGCTCCACTTCTGACCCAGCTCCCAGCAAAGCGCCTGGGAAAGCAACAGAAGATGGTTCAGGTCCTTAGGACTCTGCATCCACGTGGGAGACTGAGATGAAGCTCCTGGCTCCCGCCTTTAGCCTATTCCAGCCCTGGCTGTTGCAGCCATTTGGGGAGTGAGCCAGTGGATGGAAGGCCTCTCTCTCTGTGCCTCTGCCTCTCCCTCTCTCTAACTCTTTCATATAAATAAATAAATCTTCGGGGAAAAAAATTGGAAGCCAGGACTCATACCCAGACACTCCATTACTGAAGCAGCACCTTACATGCTGTGCCGAATGCGTGCCTCTGGTGCACTCTGTCAGTGTTTCTGATAGGTAGCAGCTCTTATGTCAGTTCAGGTAACTTACTGTGTAAGCAAGGGCTCAGCCAGACTTCAGACAAAGTGTATTCCCAGAGTTTGGTGCGCCCCATCTTCTCTGTCACTCCCTGGCAATCACAGTTGCCTGAGCTCCTTCCCCAGTGCCTATCAGAAAGGAGTTGTCACTGCCCTGCACCTCTGCTGCCTTATCAGTAGCCTCCCCCTGGCCAAATTAACTCTCCAGTACCCTCAGGTAGGTTTTTCTGCTTGTTGGCTTTGTGGCGGTTACTTGCTGGGGGGTTGGTGTGTCCGAACATTTTAGAGCTTCTGTGTTTCAGGCTGGACTTTCCTCAGATGTTTGGTGTCCTGGGCCATCAGACCTGGGCACTGTCAAGTCTGTTGGAAGCTCTGGGAATGTGAGGCAGGCGTGTTGAGTGGGCCTCACTCTCTCCGTGTGTTAGCACTGTCTGGCTGGACCATTTATTTGATTGGAGACCCTTCTATGTCAATTTGTTGGCTGTTTTCCTTCCTTTCTCCTGCCTAACAGGTGGAACCTTGATGATACTTGAAGCTGAGTGAGAAGGGAGGAGTGGGTGTCTGAAAATCTCTCTCTCGTCCCTTCTTTCAGTATGGTACATCCAGCTTTGTTCCTTATTTACCCTCTTCAAGGCTAGAACAACCAGTCTAGAGGCTGCTTCTGCAGCAGACATTCTACGGGTTCCCCTGTGTTTAAGCTCTTTGCATCCGTACTTCCAAGATACCTAGCGCTGCCAGTGTCTGATCCATTGGGTTATTGTGTCTTGCCTGGGATTCTACTTTCTTCAAATCGAATACCACTTGCCTTGCTTTCCAGCTTCCAACATTTTATCCCTTCTCTTATGTTTGGGGACTTAATAGGGAGATGGAGTTAGGTCTCTTAAGTTTTACTAAAGGTTTGGGGAGGTCAAAGAATTAAATTTACATGTTAATTTATAATCTTTGCCTGGATTTCTTTGATATTCTTATTTTTCATTCTTCAGTTCTTCTGTAATTTTGATATATGGCATTAATTAAAGTCTAATTTTATTTTTAAGTGGCCCTAGTTTTCTGTTACTAAGACAGGTCATCTTTTTCCCCATTCATATAAAATACTATTCATGAAATATACCAAGATACTGTATATGCTGGGTGTGTGTCTAGCCTTTCTAGTCTTGTGATCAATATTTCTGTTCCTTTGCTCATGTGTTACTCCAGATGAACTTCACAATTATTCTTTAAACCATCTCTGGCCACTCCAGCCCTTAACTCCAGAAAAATGTATGTGTATGTTTGTGTGTATGGATATATGTATGTGTCTACACAAATACATATATCCATACACACACACTTATGTATCTATAAAGATTCATATACACACACACACACACACATATATATATATATTTATATCTCCATGGGATTTTTATTGGCTCTCATGAGCAAAGTAAGTAGGACTGGCTTCTTTGCAAAATTCAGGAATGTGCTGTTCACTACACTTACATCTTTTCTATGCAGCACTGATGGGTGCTCGAACCTTTGTAGATGTCACGGATATCATAGTGAACAGAACAACATGGCTCCTAGTGTTGTGTGGCTGCTCCTGTGTGTTTCTTAGTGGATTTAAGCCTAAGGATTTTATGTTTTTGTGGGTACTGTGAGTGGATTTTTTTATCCTCTTTATGTTTTCCAGCTGGTTATTGCCGGGAGACAAAAATGTTGTTCATTTTCCATCAGGCCCTCTGAGGTCAATTTTTCTTTAGCCAGAAATGTGTAGCCCCTTCCCTCCTGGCCAGTCACACAGGGGGTTTTCCAGAGTGCCACCTGCTTCTCATTGATATTTGACAGTGACTCAGAATTACAGTTTGATGAGCCACATCAGCTCCTAGGGATCCCTTTCAAGATACTGTTTTCACAGAGGGTTAATTACTGTGCTGAAGTCTGGTGTGGAAAATTTCATGATGCCTGAGTTCTTTATCCAGACCTACTCGCCCTCAAGGTTTTCTTTGTTCTTGAGCCTCTCTTCCTCTCCAGCTGTGGGTTTGGATTTGTTCTTGTTTAATTTTGTGCTGGATTCATACAGGAATGAGCACAGCCAGAGGATCTGGCGCAGAAGTGAGAGGGGAGTGAAGAGTGATTTTAAAGTCCTCAAATAATTTTATTTTAATTTAGTTTCATGTTCTTTGAAAGCACTCCCTCCAAACTTAACAAGCGATAGCAATGAAAATTATTGTTCAAACCATCCTGCTCAAGTTCTAAAGCTGTTACATCAGAGCTAGCAGAACACTGCTATCTAATTTTATGGGTTTTTCCCCCCTAGGTGATGGCTGATCTGTATCATCACTATTTATCGATTTCTCCCTTCCATTAAGGCTGTGCCTCACTCTGATCCCTGGGCATGTAGCTTTTCTCTGATGACTCAGAGTATCTTATAGAGAGCATCCATTCTTCTGTCCTGAAGCATTAATGGTTCACAAGTGTGATGTGTGGGTAGGGACGGCAGCAGTTACTGCTTAATTGAGCCTCAACCCTACTTTCTGACTCCAGATCCTGCCTCTCCTTCCAGCATATCAGTACACTGCCAAAATCTTCTGGGTAACCAGGTACAGATCTCCAGAGCATTGATTTATCTAATCATTTTGGTACCTGATTATAGATTCTGCTTCCATCGTCTGTTACAGTTACACGTTTCCTAAAGTTTGCCAAAGTTCTGTATTTACCTTTCTCTTTTTAAGTGTTTAGGGAAACCTTTCTGTCATATTGCACTGAAATGTAGGATACTGTGTGAAAATCGTAAATCAAATGAGTCTGGCTTCAACTTACCCAGCCAAGGTGATTGAGCAAGGTATTTTGCTTGCATGGCTTTTTAGTCTTAAGTTTCCTCACTACCTCATGGGATTATTATGAGAGTTAAATGTCATGGTGCATATCAAGCATGTACCACAGTAACATGCTTCTGAAATTGTTGTTCTGGCTGTAATAGATAATAAAGAAATCTATAGAACGCACATGCTTTGTTTCCTACTCTATTTCCCATAGAAATAGGGTATTATAATAAGTAAGAAGAAACCACAACCCATTGCATTTGCTACCACAGTTCTCATATAATATTTTTCTTGAATAAATTAAAGGGAGAAGAAACAAAAGAACCACACCTATAATTCCATGTGTGGTTGCACCTTGGCTTTGTAAAAGGAAGAGAGCATTTCCAGGCTCATGTTTTTACTGAATACCTGTCCCTTATAAGTTCGAGTTGGTCAGCCTTCTTTACTTGTATTGCAGTTTCTTTACATGGATTCTCCTTTTATTTCAAGGAAGACAGGATTATATTACTTCCAAAGCCTCCCCACACTGTCATCTACCCCTAGAGCATCTGTCCTTATTCTCTTACCAGTGGTTTATCTAAGTTTTACAGATCTGGATTCCCCAATTCTGGGCTACTGGTAAATTTTTTTTTTTTTTTAACACTTGAGGTCTTTGCCAGGGTTCATGGTCTTGGCTGTTGTCAGGTTTATGATGAACTGGTCCTTTTCTCACAAGGTTCCTATTATTTATGAGTCAAAATTGAGCCCCAAGTAATGTTTCCCCTTGTTAATTCATTTGTTGTCAGGAGGTGAACAAGAACAGAATCAGGCTCATCAGCGACTGTGCAGATTGCTGCTGTATCTGCTTTGTTAACTCTGTGATCTCCATCGTGAAGGCCCCTCCCATCTGGGTTTTCTCTGGAAGGACAGTAGCAGTGTGCCCACAGAACACCTTCATTTCTTACTCTCTTTTGCTTGCCCTTCACTGTGCTGTCCACCCTGTTTCTTCATTATTCACACAGATGTATGCCTACCTCATGATATTCAGCTTTACTTCCCCTGCTTAATTTTCCTCTAAATATTCTGCAGCATCACCAACACACCTCAGAAACCCTTTTAGTGATTTATGCCAGCTTGCTTGGCTTGGCAATATTTTTCCCAGAGACCTTGATTTTACCTATAAACTTGGAGGTTTTGCCATGCCCCTCTGAAGCTTCGAGGAACTGCCAGGTTAGAAATGCCAGCCCAGCCTTAAAGGACTGCTCAGCAGTCTCCTCTTCTTCCAGTCACCCAGAAGCTGCCAGAGACTGCTGTGAACTTCGAGTCTTTGTAAAAGCACTGCTGAGAGTCCATGGTTGGAGCTTTAATTTGCTTGTCCTGGTCTTAGGATTATTCAGTATGAATATAAAGTGGGAGATAATCAAGACTAAGTTTCTTGGGCTGTGGGTGTCAATATTTTGTATTTGTAGTTCTTCAGTCCTCCTGGGTTTGTGGCTGCTTTTTTGTTTTGTTTTTTGTTCATTTTGAGAGGGGAAACATTTTGCTGTGCAGTTGTGTCTGTCCTGCTGCACATGTAAGGGGCGGGGTCCCTTCTAGACTGTTGTCATTTGGAATTTAGAAGTAAGGGATATAAGGCTGTCAGTCAACAGCTTCCTGCTTTGTTTGCTGTTCTCCATTGACATCATGATTAACACCTGGGCTTTCGTTCGTTTGGGTCCCCTCAGATACACCTATGAGCGAATTGATGGGCGAGTACGGGGAAACCTGCGCCAGGCAGCCATCGACCGGTTCTGTAAGCCAGACTCAGACCGCTTTGTCTTTCTTCTGTGCACCAGAGCGGGAGGCCTGGGGATCAATCTCACAGCTGCTGATACCTGCATCATATTTGATTCTGACTGGAACCCACAAAATGACTTGCAGGTAACCATTAGGATGATTGCTCTTTACCTTAGCCACCCCTAAATCCCATAACATCATGACAGGGCCTGGCTTGGCTGTGGAGTGTCTGCCATGCTCCAGGCTGTGGTGTCAGCCAGATGACAGGCGTAGGGCCTCGGTCAGAGGGGAAGCCAAATGAAGAGTAAATGTCAGCCCCTCCCACAGATTTCCAAATACAGGATAAAACTGCTATTTATTATTATTAGGCATAAAGAAAGATATTAAACTGGACTAATTTTCTAATTCTTAATATATAGATTGATTCTGACATTTTCACTCAAGGTGTATTTATTAGACGGTCATATGTCACGTAGAGTAAATGAGTAAACCTGGAGAGGTGAGATAGTTTCCTGGGGTAGTAGGAGAACAGCAGTACCCTCACCAGTTTGTTAGCTGTATTAACAGTTTCTCTGTGCCTAGCTAAGTGACTCTACAGATTCTGTTTTCTAGTTCTAACCAAATGAAATAACAGGTGGCTTTAAAAGGTTACTGCAAAGATTGGCTTTAATGCGGTACAAAAAGCTACCATAAACAACAAGAAAATAACACAGCCTGGTTTGGAGTTCTTCATCAACTTTGCTTCAAAGTAAAAACAATGACATTCTAACCAGATTGGACAGTAAGTCAGCCAAAAAATATTCTAACTTGTCAAGAAGACTGTTTAGAATGTCAGTGTGCATCTATTTCATCAATGATTAACTTCATCCCTGTGGTTCTGTATTGTATCTTGAATATTCATTGATACTAGGATTGATTGTGGAGGGGAGGGGTGAGCAGATGGCTCAGAACATTTCTCGTAATACAGGCGATCAATCAAAAAACATTTGGAGGCTGCTGCTGCACGAAACTCAAGAGGAACCCCAGGGGATACCGTGAAGGAAAGATGCAGGAAAGAAGGAGCCAAGCTGACGGCTATCTGGGCTCCTTCCCTGCCCACCCATTTGCAGAGTTATTCTATTTCTCTTACTCACTCAGTCAGTTTCTAAATAAACTTTTGTTTAAAGAAAGCAGTCCACTAGTTGAAAACCAATGCTTTAAATTGTTAAGTTGGTGACAATTGTCTGAAACTAAGAAAAAATATAATAAATCATCAGGAAGCAGATTATGGGAAGCTGTGTTCACCATCCCACTTCAAAGAAAGCCACGCGTTATGAATAGCTTACCGTGAGTCCTTTCTGCTGATGAAGGGACACTTGGGTCAAAGACGAGTTGCAAGATATAGTGAATAACCAGTTTTTAAAGGATTGACATATACCAACACTAAAATCATAATCAAAAACTAGTATTTCATCAGCTTACTGTCAGCCCTGATTTGAAGCCTGCACGTAACTGAGAGGGCTGTTCAGGAGGGAAATTGGAAGGATGGGGTTGGCATCTGGAGGCCGGTCATGACTACAGGCAAAGATTTTAGAATCACCATACTTTACCTAGGTGAAATCTAAACATGACCAACTGAATAGGCGCAATGCCAAGAAATGAAGTGGGCCGGCGCCGCGGCTCACTAGGCTTATCCTCTGCCTAGCGGCGCCGGCACACCGGGTTCTAGTCCCGGTCGGGGCGCCGGATTCTGTCCCGGTTGCCCCTCTTCCAGGCCAGCCCTCTGCTGTGGCCAGGGAGTGCAGTGGAGGATGGCCCAGGTGCTTGGGCCCTGCACCCCACGGGAGACCAGGAAAAGCACCTGGCTCCTGGCTCCTGCCATCGGATCAGCGCGGTGCGCCGGCCGCAGCGCGCCGACCGCAGCGGCCATTGGAGGGTGAACCAACGGCAAAGGAAGACCTTTCTCTCTGTCTCTCTCTCTCACTGTCCACTCTGCCTGTCAAAAAATAAAATAAAATAAAAAATAAAAAATAAAAAAAAAGAAATGAAGTGGATGAGAATGAGAGCGTTCAAGCCTAGTACCTGGAACAGATGAAGTTACCTGAGGTGTGACCAGGGTGGGTGGGAGAGGCTATCCAGAGTCAAGAGTCTGGTAAGAAACAGGAAGCTTTCGAATTACTGTGTTTAGTGTCTACTGCTGGGGAGCTGGCGAGAGATGGAGTAAGGAATAGCAATGAAGTCCAAACTGAAATTGGATGATGCGGTTTGCTTTTTTAATCTCCTAAGTCAGTTTCTGAACTTCCCCTAATGCTCAATCTGAATGAAGAAACAAAGACTAGCAGTAAGGGTGATGCAGGGTGGGAGCTCACACTGTGACACAGCAGAGGTAGTGAGCAAGGGAGTTGATGGTGATGGCAACTCTGGGTCAGGATCAGAGTTCGCATTCTTCAACTCATGGTCTTCTTTGTTCTTGACTCACTGATTTCTGGAGTGGCTGGGTAAGTGGGTTAGTTGATTATTATTAAAATTGTATAACTCAGAGGGAATTAGCCTTAGTTTTTCAAATGTCAGACCAGACTGGGTAGAAATGAAAAGAATTGGGAAATGTACAGTAATTCTAGGACATGAAACCAAATCAGTACTTATTGGTGAATGGGACAGTGGGCTGTACAGGAGATATAGCACAAGGGCTGGAGACTACCCACAGACCAGTGTACCATGCGCACACACTCCTCATTCTGGCGTTTGCCCTTGCACCATGTCCTGCAGATGTAAGGTAGGAGAGAAAGTCTGGAGGCTGGGACTTTGAAGCTGTCATGTGATTCATGAGACTGCAGCTGAATCAACCATGAAGATGAGTGAAATGAGATCCTAACAGACAAAGCATGCTTAACCAGACCCGTCCCCAGTATTAACCTTGTGAAACTGGTCATGGTAACCACATACAATCGTTCATGTACATATATGCACTCTTTTTATCAGTTAGTAAAAGCTCTCAGTCACCTGTAGTTCTTTAAGATGATTGCTTTTGGGAGATGGGTTTAGTCGAAGAACATTTACCTAGGAGTGGACTGTGACACATAATGCCTGATACAAATATCTGGGCCAAAAAAACACAAACGAAAACAAAGACTCATCCTGAGTAGAGTCTCCAGAAGGCTCAGTTCAGATGCTATAAATCATGAGAGCGCACTCTGGTCTCAGGCTGGCAGCATCTGGGATGGGTTGTGGTTTGTCTCCAGTCAGGACAACCTGATCCCGCACCCAATTCAGAGTCTGGAGAGTGAAGCTGACCTGATTGCAGGGAGCTGGGCTCAGCTAACATGGGTGCAAGACCCAAGGCAGAGCTGCAGACAAACCAGGTTTACAGCTGGAGAGCAGAGATCCATCAGCTGAGAGTCAGAAAACAGCGTTACTTTTTCTGCTTTTTCGTTATTGGCAAAGATCCATTCAGCCTTCTCCTCTGATCATTTTTGCTGCAGTTTTCTATGCTTTGTGGATAGAATTAGAAGTTGAGGACTTGCTAGAGATATTTATTTAATCTGAGCTTCATCAATGAATGGCCTAAGTGATTGAGTTTTCTTGTTGAAGTCTGAGAAGTTCAGTAAATTGTATCCCTCTCCCATGCCTGGATATGGGAGAGTAAAGTAAAGTAAAGGAAGATCAGGTGTTACAGCTCAGTGTGTAGCCAGGTTCAGGCTTCCTGAGCCTCCTGCACAAGCACACTCATCCATGTGTTAAACTTAGCCAACCAAAACTGCCCACAGCCACGTGCAGAGCAGTGGCTGGCCTGGGGAACTGTCAGCAACAGAGGGGAGGCTCCTGTGTTCCTTGGGAGATGAGAGGGCAGGGGCCCAGCCTATACAGGCTCAATCCCTGTCCCATATTTTATTGGCCAAGTAGGTCCCTCCTTTGGGTTAGTGAGTGGAAGGGGGATAAGGGAGTGTGGCTAGAGAGGCACTATTTTTTCCCTACCTCTTTCTGCCTAGCATCAAGTTCCCCTTCCCAAATCCTCCAAACGTACAAGTTCATTTAGGACCCAGGATAGGAACTGGGCACTACTTAGGAATATTAAAAGAGACTAAAGTTACTACTGAAAGATCTCAGCAGTATTATTGTTTTATCTGTACTATCAGAAGGAAGGTGATTTCGTGGGTTCCCAGAATGGGAAGATCTTACCTAGAGATACCAGATGCCATGTTCTTTCTCAAACCTTGACCATGTTGGTGTTAGCACCAGTGTGTGTAAGAAGCTCAGAGGTGTAAAATCATCTTTTCTGCCTTCATTTAGAAGACACAAGCTGTGATTCAGTCCTGGTACTTCAGCAACAGCAGGACCTGAGGTTGAGAAGTAGCAAAGGACCGTGACAGCAGCCTGAGAAGGAGAGAGAGAAATGAAGAACTGGTTTCCTCTTAGGAGGAAGCCAGTTTGCTGCTAGTCCTAAGGGCAAAGCCCGACCTGGGAATCACAGGCTGTCCTGCCCCCCTCACTGAGGCCTCAAGTACCTTCCTGCTTCATTGCTCTGTGGTACCTCTGCTTCTTATTCTCTGAAGGGATTTTTACACCTTGAAGCAAGAGATCCCTAGCATTGAACAGGGTTCGGAATAAAAGTGACTGCATGGTTCCATGTCCTTTCTGTTGCCAAGGTCCCTGATGGTAGAATTCAGGAAGTTTGGGAGCAGATGTCCCACCAAGAGCACAGCCACAGGCAGTGCACCTGCCGCCTGTCTGCAGCATTTTGAAAGGGAGGAGGAAATCCAGCCTAAGGAGCAAGAGCCCCCTTCAAGAAGCAGGAGCCTGCCATGCTGCTCCAGAGGAGAGGAAATGGTCCTCTTCACCACTTCCTCTCCTTTCACCATGTTGCCAGCACCACTGGCTTCTTGACAGTATGTATGCGTGAGCTGGGAGAATTATACCTATTAGATTTCCTTTGCTGTAAGAAAATAAGAATTTATAAATGTATGCATAAATGCTCCATTTTGCTGTCTGTTCAGCAAATGGCTGTTTAACATCAGAATGTGCCACACATCATTTAAAATACTGGAGATGGGGCCACCATTGTGGGGCAGCAGGTTAAGCCACTGCTTGCAATGCTAGCATCCCATAGCAGAGTGCTGGTTCTAGTCTCAGCTGCTTTGCTTCTAATCCAGCTTCCTGCTGATAGG